ATGGAATTTTTTAATTTATTAGTTTTTAAAAATTTCGTTCAAATCAATTAAATATCAGTATGTGGTCCTCAAATTTAGATACTAGTGCATCCTTTGAAGGTGGATTTTTGAACAATAGTCGTAAAGGAGGACAAGATGATGTTAAATTGAGAAGAGTACAAACTCTTATTCCTGTTATGATAAAACATTTACTTTCTGCATCTTCCACTGAGGAAACAAAATTTTGGAATATCCCTGCACGTATGTTTATAATTCTTGGACTAGTACGTAATGTTGAAGAAACTGCAACTAAAATATCATATGACGTTGAAGATCAAACAGGTTTGATTTAATTAAATTTTGTCAATTTTAGTTCTCTTTTCTTTGATTTTCAGTTTTTTTGTATTAATATATTTAGGTACTATTACTGCACTTAAGTGGTTAGAAGCAGAGAGAAAACCATCAGACCATACTGTACAAATAAATACATATATTCGCATAATTGGTTTACTTAGAGAACAAAATGATAAGCGACACATTTTAATTTTACGAATGTTTCCAATGCAAGACTTGAATGAATTAACAAACCATATACTTGAAGTTACTTATACTGCATTGAAAGCTGAAGCAATGGCAAAAACAAATAAAGAATTAGAAAATAATCCAAATGTCAAGGTACATGAAGTACCAAATGAAGATTCTCCATATTATGGAATGACAGGAGATCAAACTCTAGTTTATAAGATTATTCATGCTGAAAATGATAGTGAATCTGGTATTGAAAGATCTGGCATTAAAGCACAAGTACCAAAAAGAATTTTGTCAGAAATAGACAATATCTTGGATTTTCTTGTTTCTGAAGGTCACATATATACAACAAGCACAGATAATCATTTTAAGACAACTTAGGTTATATAAATTAATATTTGTTATATATTTTTTCTCATTTCTCAAACATCAAGATTTTTTGTTTAATTTGTAATATCAGATTTAAAAAATATATGTGTAATGGTAGTCCTACATATGATATGTACATACATATATTAAAGTATTGAAGCTATAAATTCTTGTTCTTCCGTTGATAAAAACTTCTTTATTCTGCTCAACTAATTTTAATATTTTATCTTTTGTTTCCTCTGGTCATCCCTTTCCCTTCTATGTATATGTAAATTTAATATATTTTTCCACAGAATCTGTTAATATAAATATCCTTACAACTAAGTAA